CCAACTCATAAATACCTACGCAAGGAATGATGGATTGAGAAAAATCACTTTTACAATTGTCAAGGACATGATGACTTGAGATACATCAACACATGCGAAATGAAGATGAAAGAAGAAAAGAGGAACATGGCGTTTACCTGCCTTCAAGTATCTCGCCCTACTAATTGCAAAGGAACAACAGCAACCTCACCATGAAAAAGTCTAGTAGACACCACGTTAGCCAAGTTATCAAATGAAAATAAGCGACACCGGGACTAACTAGCGCTAGGTGCTTTCCGATAAGATGAAATGGGGACAGCACTACACTACTCCTTCGGAGTGGATGCTGAAAAATGCATTACTGGGGATTGCAAACAAACCCAAATTATGGCTGTTCTACAAATGGCTGGTCTACATAAAAAAAAAAATTGGAGTCAGGAGAAAAAAGAAAGGCTGAGGAATAGATGGAGACTAAAGACACAAGACAACTAAAAGCAATGCATGATCTTCCTTTGGATCTTTAACTAGAAAAAAACAATACCTCTGCAGGATGTTATACAGACAGTTTCTTAAATTTTAATGTGGATGGGGGGCAAGGTTGTATCAATTTTAAAGGTACTGATTTTGAAAATTATACTCTAGCTACATAAGAGAATATTTTTGTCCTTAAGAAATTCATACCAGTGTTGGGGGAAAAGATGCATGGCATAGACAGCTTCTTATCAAATAATTCATTAAAAAAATGCTTTAAAAAGTATGAAAGTTCTGAGTGTAAGGGCAAGCATTTAAAAAATAATTTACATACATATATAGTTACATCATTGTTCATTTTTGTACATTGTATGCTCTTCTCAGGTGTAGTCCCTGTAAAATTCCCACCATCAATTCACCCTGAACCATCACCCTAGTCCCCTCTGCTCTTCCCTCCCCTGTTTGGATCCTTCTCCATCCCACTCCTTTGTAGAATGTCTCTGATTTATGCTGTTTTTTTAGTTGTTACTTTTTTCCCCTGGTCCCTTATTTGGTTTCCTTATGTTCTCCCTATAAGTGAAACCATTTGATATTTTTCTTTTTCCTTCTGACTTATTTCATTGAGCATGATCCCTACCAGCTCCATTCATGTTGTTACAAATTGCATGAATTTGTCTTTTTTGATCGCTGATTAATATTCCTTCCTGTATACATACTACATCCTCTTGATCCAGTCATTTGCTTTTGGGCATTTGGGTTGGTTCCATACCTTCCTTATTATAAACAATGCTTTGATAAACATAGGGGTGCAGGTATCCTTTTGAATTAATGTTTTTGTGTTCTTTGGGTAGATCCCTAGGAGTGGAGCCCATAGAATCAATATGCTGTATAGCTCCAGGTTTAGTAGTATGAGAAACCTCCTACAGTTTCCACAGAGGTTGGACCAGTCTGTATTCCCACCAGCAGTTCAGGAGAGTTCCTTTTTCTCCACATCCTCACCAACATTTGTTGTTGCTAGTTTAATATGTGCCATTCTCACTGGTGTAAGATGGTACCTCATTTTGATTTGAATTTCCTTGATTATAAGTGATATGCATTTTTTCATATAACTGCTAGCAATTTGTATTTCCTCTTTGGAGAAGTTTTTTTTTTTTTTTTTTTTTTTTTTTCTTTTTTTTTGTTTTTTTTTTTTTTTTTTTTTTAAGCTCTTCTGCCCATTTTTTGCCTGGATTATTTAGGGCAAGCATTTTGATTATGTTTCAGAGTAGCGCCCCGTCTTCCTCCCCCTCCCAAGTCAGGCAAGCTATCAGCCCTATCATGAGAGAATGCCCTGGAATCAATCAAGGGTCCTCCCTGGTGGCCCAGAGGGTGAAAGCACAGCACTAAGAAGCTAAAGCCACTTCAGCATGAGCTCAAACCCCTCCCGTCCCGGAGGTGAAACACATGGCCGCAGACCTCTCCTAGCTGGTCTGCTGCTCCTCTCAGCACTGTACTTGATTGATCTGCCTGTTCTGTTCCCCTCTCTGTCTCTGGTGAATCCTCTCGCCACCCCTGCACCTCTGGCCTGTACCTCAGTTCTGTATGAATAAATAAATCTTAAAAAAAAAAAAAGAATCAGCATTTAACTTAAAAAAATTTTTTCCCAAGATTTATTTATTTATGCATACAAGAAACAGGTCAGAGGTGTGGGCATGAGAGGACTCGTCAGAGAGAGAGCGGGGAGCAGAACAGGCAGATTGATGAAGTACTGCTGTACTGCTGAGGGGAACAGCAGGCAGGTCAGGCAAGGTCCCCTGGATGGGGATCAAACTCGTGCTGCAGTGGCTGCTGCTAGCTTCACAGAAAGGGCCCATCATTTAACTTTTTAAACCTTATCAATTTTATTGCTACATTTTAAAAAAAAATTACCATAAATCCTTGCCATTGAATTGATTTTTATTTATTCTTGTACAAGAATGTATAAGAGCTAGTGACTTCACTTCTGATTGAAATATATTTTTAATTTTTTAGTAAGGTCCACTGGTAAGAATTCTATTAGTGTGTTTAAATTTATCTTTTGTAATGGATTAAATTTTTTCCTCACCTAAAATTTGTATGCTGAAGCACTGGGCCCCCACTGTGCCTGTATTTGGAGACAAGGAGGTAAAAGCTAAATTTTGAAGTCATAAAGTTGGGACCAAATCTGGTAGAACTGGTATTGTCCTAAGAAGAGGAACGGACACCAGAGAGCTGTTTCTCTAAGCAACCAGAGAGAAGAGACCATATGAGGCTATCGGAAGAAGTGAGTTGTCTGCAAGCCTCACCAGAGAACAAGCTTGCTGACATCTTTCTCTTGGGCTTCCAGCTTCCAGAACTGAGAGAAAACAAATTTCTGTTGCTTAACCTCCCCAGTCTATGATCTTTGATTGTGTCAGACTGAATAGACTAATAATACTTTGTTTATAGAAATATTTTTCTGGTTATAGAATTCTACCTTGAAGACATCATTCCACTATCTTTTCTGAATTTTCTTTTGTTGTTTGAGAATCAGACTGTTACTCCTTTGGAGAAAATCTAACTTTCTCTGCCTAGTTTTTAAGATATTTTCTTTTTCTTTCTTTCTTTTTTAAATGTACTCTAATTATGTATTTTTACATCATTCTTCATTTTGTGCATTTTTTCATCTCAGTTGTAATCCCGTGGACTTCCCACCACCAATTCAGCCATAGTCCGGTGAACTCGTCTCACCCTAGTTTTTAATCCTATTCTCCTCTTCACCCCCAGAAAATGTCTCTGTTTTAGAGCTGTTCGTTGTTTTTCATTATTACTTTATTACAATTGCTTTTTCTTTCTTTCCCTCTGATCCCTTACACTCCTGCTATGAATGAAACCTTCTGGTATTTTTCTTTTACTTTATGGCTTATTTCACTAAGCATGATCCCTTAGATCTTTTCTTAATGAAATCCTTAGATAGCAATTTATCTTTTTAAAATTTTCTTGGACGTCAGTGAGTTTTTTGAAGCTGAGAATGTGTCTCTTTATCAGTTCTGGAATATTCTCAAACATTATTACTTCACATGTAACACCTGCCTTATCTTCTCTCTTCTCTTCTTTTTCTAGGACTCCAGTCATGTCATCCACTCACACACATGTATATATGTGATACACACACACACACACACACACATAATATATAATGTATTAATTGTCTATCTATCTATCTTTCTACCTATCTATCCATCTATATATTTCATACTGGGCTGAGCCTGAATAATTTCTTTAGTTCTTGCCTCCAATTCACTATTCTCTCTTCAGCTATGCAGTTTGCTTTTTCTTAAATTTGTTTTTAAAAAGATTTTCTTTTATTTAGGCATACAGAACTGGGGTGCAGGCCAGAGATGCAGGGGTGGTGAGAGGATTCACCAGAGACAAAGTGGGGAGCAGAACAGGCAGATTGATGATGTACACTCCTGAGGGGAGCAGCGGGCGGGTCAGGAGAGGTCTGCCGTGCCATGTGGGATCACTGCCATGTGGGATCACCTCCGGGGCAGGCAGAACAGGTTTTTTTTTAGCTTCTTAGTGCTGTGCTCTAACCCGCCGGACTATATCTTTGTTATATTACCCTTGCAGAATTTGAATCAGAAGTATATTCAAGTTTCTCCAGAAGTAATATGTATTTTCTTCTGTCAGCTGTCTAGAGGGAACATGAGCCTAAACCCACTTAAATGAACTTTGATTAGTGACTTTTTGAGCTATCCAAGTAGTGTTAATTCAGATTGAAAATCGGAATGATTATTGACTTATGATTATAAAATATTGTTGCGATCTCTACCCTCTACATACCAAGGTTTCCAACAGCAGTTTTGTTTTTCCTCCTCTGGGTCTGGAAATATGTATTACCCTTAACTTTGGGGCAGACCCTTTGAGACCCCATTTTATCTAGATACTAAATTTACCATCTTGAATAAACCCTTGGGCCTTATCATTTTTTCTTTGCAAGGGTACAAGGACCATGGTATTAAACACAAACCAGTAACTGTGTACACATCAGTCACCCACAGGATGTGTTTAAACATAGACTGCAAATCTCCTTTCCAGAAATTTTGACTCATAGGGTGGGGCCTGAGAAGCTGAATTCCTAATGAGCCTCCAGGTGATGTGGATGCTTCCAGTCTGGAAGGCATATTTGGAGGACCACTGTGATTACTGTGGAGCAGCAGGGTCCCCCTTGAGGGCTGCTATCATACATTTAGTTAAGATTGCTTGCAACTAAATATATACCCATACGAATGAATGCAACAACGCTAGGGAAATATGAAGAAGCTTAAGGGATTGTATTGATGTTAACATACTAGGTATGATATCATACTACAGTTTTGCAAGATGTTAAAATTGGGAGAAACTGAGTCAAGGACACATCTCAAAGATACCATAACTTACAATTGTACAATCTACAGGTAAGTCAGTAAATTTTTTTTTAAGTTACTAAAAAGAAGGTATGTAATATAATCTCACTTTTGGAAATTACACAGGTCTATGTCCCTGAAGGGGTGATCACCAAATATCAACAGCGGTTAGTTACTCAATCGCTGCCACACTCCATGCAGGGCCACCAGGACCCGCAGGGGCGCTCAGGTGGGGCAGATCAGGGAGAGGAAGAAGTTCACTTCGTTGCCAATGATGAGCGGTTTTGGATGGATGTCGTCGGGCAGGGCCAGGCTGGAGGTCATTTCCCAGGCGTCCACAAAGGCCACAGGGAGGCCAGCAAAGGCGGCTCGGAGGAGCCGGTTCAGCTGCAGGGTGAACCAGTCGCTGCCGTACACAGACTTGTAGCCCGTGTTGGCCAGCTTGATGACCACAAGGGTGAGGGGCTCCCGGGCCAGCAGGGCGGCCACGGCCGCCCGGATCCCTGCCAGTCGCTGCGCAAAGATGGACGGAGGGAAGGTGGTGAAGTGGGCGCCCAGGCCCAGCACCACCACGGTGTGGGGGCCCCCCGCCAGGCCCCCCAGCACCCGGACCACGGAGTGCAGGGAGGCCACGGGCGTGCGGAGGGAGCGCAGGGGCCGGCCGTGGGCCCGCCAGTGCAGCACGATGTTCCGCGAGGTCTCCACGGCCATCAGGGGCCCTGTCTGGTAGGTGACGTGCAGGTTCATTGGCTTCAGGGCTGTGGGGAGGACCGGGGCGGCTTAGGAGGAGTAACACAGGCCCACGCACCATCCTCTTGTACAAATAAAAATCCTAGTTCCAACTTTGCAGCACACAAGCATTCTGTCCCTGAGACCCTCTTGCTGCCGCCCTCCCCCACGCTTTTAAGGTTGTCTAGAATCTCACCAGTATCCCTTGGATTGTTTTGTTCTGTTTGTTTTACTTCTCTATGAATTGACTTCTCTGTGCCTGTTAACGTCTTCTAAAACCTTCCTTTCTTGCTTTCTGTTTCCCATTTTTCTAACTTTCTGGTCATTGTTTGCTCTGTTGCTGCTTCCTGTTTTCCTGGCACTCTGCAGGTGAAGGTATCCTTAAATTCTATCACTAACACCCTCTTCTCTTTACCTGTGAGGAATTCATTCATGTGTACCTCTTCAGTTTTTGTCTAAGAGCTGATGGCTTCCTGAACTTTGACTCCCCATTTTCAATGGCCTTATTAACATTTTCCCACTAATGGTTCCCCATTGCCTGAACACTTTATACATTGCCTTGATAAATGAATCCAGCATTTCTGTATGTCTTTCTGTCTGCTTACTGAACTTCCCTCTATTTTCCCACATCAGTCAATTATAGTTTTTTGGTGACTTTCCAGTGCTTTATCCTTCTCTCCCCCCTTTTTTTAACCACTCCATGAGGAAGCTTTCAGTCACATCTGATGCCTCTCTATGTGAAGTAAATAAGAGAGGACGTTGGTCTTGTGGAAATAGGGCATGGCTCTCAGACTTCAAAGCACATCAGTTACCTGGAAAACATGCTTAAACATAGACTGCAAAGCTCCTTTCCAGAAGTTCTGATTCATAGGGTGGAAACAGGAAACAACCTGAGGACTCTGAGGTTAAGAGGGAGAGAAAGGTGAAGGGGGGAGGGGACCCTAGGGATGGGAAAAAGGGAAACAGAGAACTTGATTCCCCTCCTCACAAAATAAGTAAATTAAAAATCAAACACATGCCAGTCATAATGACAGATTGAAAATAATAACAATAGCAATGAGACCAGTCAACTTTTTTTCCAGGTGTGTTCAGTTGCAAAAAAGGCAGAGCGTTGAATGACCCAGCTATCACCAATCTTATCACATAGTTGATTCCGTCTAACCACTCTGGATTCAGCCCAAATGAAACTGCCTCAGATGCACCTTCCCTGACCACTTAATCTATCTTCCGCCTCCTCATCTTTCATGTTCATATTTCTTTTTTCTTGGAGGAATTTGCTCTATGTGGAATTTTTTGTATATTTATTTTTTGACTTGTTGCTGAGTCTTTTCACTAGAACTTGTGCACAATAAAATAGGAATCTTAATTATTGTTTTGTTTACTACATATTCCTAGAACCCAGAGAAGTACCTGGATATCAGAAGTACCCCATAAATGTTTACTGAAAGGTAGGGAGGGAGATGGGGGGGGTAAAGGAGAGAGGGAAGGAAGGGAAGGGAAGAGATGAGAGGAAGAGAAGGGTAGAAGGGAGAGAAGAAGGGAGGGAGGAAGGAGGTTTGAAGTGGGATGGGGAACAAAGTTTGAACTTTTTGTCCTTTGCACATTAATTTTAATTGAGAGAGTAAATAGGGATTTTATTTAGAAACTAAATGGAGACTCATTTTTTGTGTTCATTGAACTTGTATTATGTGAAAGTGTTTTCAAAGTTGTCCATCGAATTCATTATGTAACTAGATGGTGTTCATTTTGCAAAAGGGAATAAAAACCTCTCTTATATTAAAAATTCAGAATAAGTGGAATTATACTCTATGTTTATTCTCCCTACCCCCACCCCCTTGTGATTAACCCTTAACTGACTCCAACTGCATTCCCGGGAACTTGGAAAATTGATTGTTTTGCATCCCTAATAAAATTCTCTGTGCCCCTTCAGGGTTGATAGTGGCATCAGAAGCAAACATTTGTTGATTTTATTGGGGTTACCCACTGCTGGGAAAGTCAAATATCTTGGCTCATGTCGCTTAGACCGCCCAGCACCTCCTTGGACCTGGAAATGCAAAGCCCCTCACTTTCTTTGCATTCCTTCCCCCCCTTATATAATCAGCATGCAAAACACCTGGGAAGCCAGCCTCATTAGGGCCCTATCCAGTTTCCCATGGTACCCATCTCGTAGAATTAGTGCTTCTGTGTAAAGACATTTCAGGGTTGGGTTTTCTTTGTGCCAGCAAGAGACCCTTTGGTTGTTTCAATTACTTACCCTCTGGTAAACTAACCTGTGAAGGAAGTTCAATGGTAATAATTGTATCTTCCCAATGCTTGCTCACACCTTCGCTCAACTACTTTTGGAGAAGTACCAACAGCCTGACCTACTTCTTCATCACAAATCTAGAGGTCTAATCCCTTAAAGTCCACCCCATCCATGTCTTTTTTCAAAAGGCTACGAATATCCTGCCCGCTCCCCTCATGGGCACTCACAGGGCAAGGTGTCACGCAGGTACTCCCACCACTGCCGAAGTGTGGAGTCCCCCATCATGTGGACAACGTGGCCAGCCAGGCAGCCCAGGATGCTGTCACCAGTGGAGAAGGAGCGGCTGGAGCAGGTCAGTGAGTGCCACACGTCCTGGTGGTAGAAGCCAGAGGGCTTTGGGGCTTGAAGTCCAGGGTGGCAAGGGTGTGGTGGGGACAGAGCTAGAGCGAAGGGAAACACAGAACAGACCTAATATTTATAACTTGCACTATGTCAGGTACTCTTCTGCATGCTTTCACCTGTATTTTTTTCATTTAGTCTTTTGTAAATGAGGGCATGATCAATGATAGTGATTGAGACAGCTAACTTCTGAACCTATGAAATGTAACTTTACAGCTCACACAACTAACTGCTTTCTCATAATACTCTGGCAGGGGGTCTGGAATTAACCCACCTAAGTCAGTGATCTAAGTCTATTAGATCACCTATTCCCGCCCCCCCCCCCACCCACCCAACTCCAAGATATTCCAGCCCCACTCACCTAGGCTGTTCCCTGTGGCTGCTGTTCTGATCTGGATTGGGGAAATACCCTGAGGGAGCACCTTGTCTGTCACATTCCTGGAGAAACATCAAGAGTAACCACTGAAGAAAGATGACCAGGTGAAAGCATGAGTCCCGAACAGGCATGTGATGGTTGACCTTTAACTCTACCTTGCCTTAGCCCAAGAAGGGTTTGATGTCGTTATACTACAAATAGCACATTCACACCACTAGGCAATTATAATAGAGGAATCTGGCATACTTTTTGCAATCAATCCACCCATTCAGCTGTCAGTTTACTATCAGTCCAGGTAATAAAGACACAAAACCAGAATGGATCCTGGGAGTACATGAGCATTCTAGAAGAAACAAACATTTTCTGGCGCATTCTGGGAGGAACATAGAGAGCAGAGTTATTTCTTGTTACATAGAAACTCAGATAATGGGAACATAACTCCCAGTCCTTGAATTTGGACTATGCATGGTGATATCCAAAGAGCACCCCGTGGAAGAACAGAACACATAGCTTTACAGTGGGAAAAGCTGTCCAACAGGACCTCAGCCAGCAGATCAGTTGACATCAACAATCATAAATCCTGTCATAAATCTTGTTTTGAAATAACTTGATAAAAATATAACTTTATCTCTGTGATCTTCCCCATCACCTAATCTAAAACCCTCGTTTAATCTTAAGAAAAACATGAAGTTCCAATAGACAGGAATACTATAATATAACTAACCAAGTACTCCTCAAAATGGTCAAGCCATGACACAACCCAGGTGCCCAGGACAGATGAATAGAGAAGATGTAGCGTATATACACAATGAAATACTACTCAGCTTTTAAAAAGATAAAATATTGCTTTTTGTGACATCAAGGACAGAACTGGAGGGCAGTATGCTAAATAAAGTGTCAGAAAGAAAAACAAATAGGATGATTTCACTCATATGTGGACTATAAAGGAATAAAACAAAGGAATGACAAACCTAAACCAGACAGACCCTAGAAATCTGTAAAAGTTAAAAATAACGTGAACAGGGGTCCTCCTTGTGGTGCAGTGGGTTGAAGCACAGTGCTGTCCGCAGCTCCTGCAGCACGAGTTCAATTCCCAGGCAGCCAGGGAGCTGAGCCACATGGCACGGCAGACCTCTCCTGGCCCTCCCGTTGATCCCTTTAGCAGTGTATTTAGGTCAATGTGCCTGTTCTGCTCCCCACTCTGTCTCTGGTGAATCCTCTCACCCCCCACATCTCTGGCCTGTACTCCAGTTCTTGTATGCATAAATAAATAAATCTTTAAAAAAATTAATGTGAACACCCATGTTAGGCAGGGTGCAGAGAAACAATCCCGCTCACATCGTTGGTGAGAATGTAGGCGGTACAGCTACTCAGGGAAACAGTTTGGAAGGTTCTTATAAAATGAAACATTGTGCCTCTCTGGTGGCCTAGTGATTAAATACAGCTCTGTCAAGATATGGCAAGCCACTGAAGCATGAGTTCGAGTCTAGCTGGCCAGGGAGCTGACTCACATGGTGCAGCAGACCTCTCCTATCTCCCTGCTGCTCCCCGTATTTCAGGCAATCTGCCTGTTCTGCTCCCCACTCTGTCTCTGGTGAATCCTCTCTCACACCCCTCCCACATCTCTGGCCTACATTCCAGTTTTTATATGCACAAATAAATAAATCTTTTTAACAAATGAAACATCCATTAATTGCACAACATAGCAATTGCACTAAGCATTCATTCCAGAGAAATGAAACTATGCTCACATAAAAATCTAAATATGGATAGCCATAACATTTTTATTCATAATAGTCAAATCTTGGAAACAAATGTCTCTTCAATGGGTGAATAGTTAAACAAACTTATCTAATGGGACACCAGACAATAATAAAGAAGATTAGATTATTCTCACACACACAAACACACGAATGCAATAGAGCTAGTGAAAATTGAATAGTACCTGAGGTTTAATGAACACAATTGTACCATTGCCAGTTTTCTTGTTTTGATATTGTATTATGGATATATGAGATATTGTCATTGGAGTAAGTTAGTTGAATGATTTATAATACTCTATAGATTATTTACACAATTAACTTTGAGTCTATAATTAATTCAAGAATTTAAAAATAGGAAATAGATCCTTATAGGTACCACAGATACACCCCTTTGCTTTTTATCTCTTCCCATTCTGTTCTCTGCAAGAATGTGGTCACTGTTATAAAAATGTGTGTGATCCTTATCCACACTTTATAATACAATATATATTTGTATATTTAAAATATTAGCTAACATTATTTGCAAGTTTTAAATTTCAGATAAAGGATACGGTAATAGGTGGTTTCCCCGGGAATGGGAAGGTTCCAAGCTCCCTGCTCCACCCAAGGGTGGAGTTGAGCAGGGAGGAGAAGCTGGACAGGAGACTGGAGAAAAGTAGGCAGAATGAAGAGAAAGAAAGTGGCCTGGAGGAGGCACATGAGCAGGGAGACATGTGTAGAAGCTTGCTTCTCTGCCTTGGACTTGGATCAGGGACTTGGGGCCATGGAAAAAGCCACCTGAATAGCGTGGGTGAGACCGGGGGGAGGTTAACAATGGCTGTGCTTACCTTGATTTTGGTGTTGCTCTTTTCCTTCCAAACTTGCCTGGCCCCTTTCCTATGGGTCTCCACTAGAAGGTACCTTAGATTTGCAGCAAGCTTTTGGGCTTCAGTGGTTCTGCTTTGGGTCAGCACTCTTTGGCTGGACATTTACCCACTAAGGGTTGGGTAACTTTGGGTGTTTGATTCAGATACTGTATATTTTTCCTTCTCTTTATTACACACAAGTTGTATTAAACATTCTTTCCATTAAAGGTCTTACACACTAGAGTATATTTTGTCTTGATGGCTGTACCCATTTAGAGTAGGCAGGTTGAGGGTTCTGGGTGCCCCCCGCTCTGCCCAGTAACAATATCACTTGTGCATATTGTTATTTGCTCATGTTTTTGAAATTCACAATAAAAATGCTATAAAGTAGGGTTATTCAGCATTCAGTTCAACTTTTCCATGATTCTGTTGTTTCAGTATACTGCCCTTCATTCATCCATCGCCAATTTCAATTATTTTGTTATTACAGCCAAATCTGCAATAAACATTCTTGTACATATTCCCTGGTCTCGTGTGAGCATGTTTCTCTGTAATTTACATCTAGAAGGCAAATCAAAGTAGACTTTACAGAACATGTAAAACTGAATGAAAATGAAACTCTTATATACAAAAATTTAGAGAATATAGGGCCCTTCCTGGTGGCACAGTGGGTTAAAGCACAGCACCATGATACTATAGCAGCCGCTGAACCACAAGTTCAATCCCTGGCCAGGGAGGTGACCCACATGGCATGGCAGACCTGTCTGCCTGCTGCTCCCATCAGCAGTGTACTTCATTTATCTGCCTGTTCTGCTCCCCACTCTGACTCTGGTGAATCCTCCCAACCCCCTGCCCCTCTGACCTGTACCTCAGTTCTGGAAGCATAAATTAATAAATCCTTCTTTTTAATTTGGAGAATACAGCTGAAACTATAAGCACAGGAGACTGATAGCTGTATCTATTTTTATTTCATGTAGGGAAGATTGAAACTGGCTAATTTAAATCATGAAAGCAGAAAAAGAAATCATAAAATAAATAAAAGGAACAAATGTTCACAATACTAGCAGACAAACACAGGTGAAATATAGTAGATTTCCTGGTCCTGGTAATGACAGATGTAGGTATTCACACCAAACTTTACACTGAGAACAACTTAAAATTCTGGACAAAATGATTATATATCTACTTAAATGACTGGAGATATAACAAAAAATGAGTACTTAGAAGAATATCTGAGAGATTTTAGATGACAAAGCACGTAAGCCACTTTCACCCGTCTTTGTTCACCCTGGAGTACCTCATATCTTATTTTTGCCGGAGAATGCCTACTTTTTCTTTAAACCTCAGGTCTATTATAACTTTCCCTAAATGGACAGCCTGACCAGTTTACAGTGCTCAACAAGCCCGTGTTCAATGACAGTGTAAATAAATGAGGGATGCACAGCAGGGGAGGGTCCTTGGGTCCCAGTGACCTGTTGGGAGGAAGGTGTAGCTTAGGGTGTGGGCAGGCATCCCAAATGCTGAGTTTCTTACCAGGCCAACAGGGCATCATCATGTTTTGTAGTCACCTTCAGGTAACTCCCACTCGAATGTTCAACCAAAGACTTGCAGGGCAGGGTACGGGGTTGAGCGCAGAACCAGAGCTCACCAGAATCCACATCTCTATACTGGCATGTGGGCCCTTTTGCTCCAGTTGACTGGGGATCAATATTGCAAGTCACAGTCTCTTCTTTCCCAGTAGGTCCCCGGAAATAGCCTCTAAAATCAACTGTGGCCTTTTTCTCTCTCCAGATTCTTTGAAGAACCGCAACCGCCTCGCTGGAGTGGATCAGCCGCACTTGCACCTGGGCCTTCCCAGCCCAGAGCAGCGGGAAGGACAGCAGGTAGGTGCCATTCTCCAGATCCTGAACGTCCCCAGAGGCCCCCGCCTTCAAGTCCGGACCCAGAAGCTGTGCCCGAAACAGATCCCCACCGTGGGTCTTGGGTGTGCCCCGGTGGTCTCTGGCCACCAGGATGGCCTCCAGGGAGTCTCCCAGGGCATAGCTGGCCTGGCCAGGACGCCTCAGGTGGTAGGTGGAGGTCAGGGGGCTGGTGGAGGCCAAGAAGTCCCCCTTATCTTCAGGAGTTGGAGGCCAGTACAAAAGATGGGTCAGGTTGGTGAGTTCTGGGGGGAGGGCGTACGAGAGGGAGGGAGATTCCATGGAGGCTGAGGCAGATTTAGAGGCAGGGCGGGGCACTGGGTACCGAAAGTTGTTGCTATCAGACCAAGGTATCTTGATATACAGGAGCTGTAGGCAGAATAAAAAAAGCTCTCAGTAGTTTATGTTTCCCCCACTTTCTTCAGAGAAGGCGATTTTCATTCACCAAAGCTAGTACTCTCTGCTAGGTAAGACCCAGAAGCCCTGTGTACCCTGTACCAGGTTGTTTGTTACTCATCTGTCTGGTGTCTGAGTCTCCCCATTTATTCGGCATCTTGTGTGAAGGTAAAGTTCTAGCTCTGGTTTAGCTACTGTTTCCTTATCATGGCCTTATTCTTCCACCTTCATCCTCCTTCCCTTCCACAGGAATATGTGCAGGCCTGTACCCCATTCTCACTTCACTAACTTTCCTCACCTTAGAAGTCCTGCTTCCCTCCAGGAATCTGGCCTTCTGAGTCAGTGTCTTCTTTATCTTTCTCTTCCTTCTTACCACAACTCCACTCCCATCATGTCCACCCAAGATTTCCAATAGAGTTGGATGTGGATGAGCCCTTTACTCAAAGCTGGTGAAGGTTATAGAAGAAGGAGCTGAGACTGTCCCATAGGGAGATCCCTCCCTCTTTTAATTGGGCTCAGTGGATAGACAAAGGCATTCAACCACAGAAACCCCTGGAAAAGTGAGAGTTCATAGAAAGGCACAGGCACAAGTGTGAACTACAAAAGGACTGAGGTATGGCAGATTCTTTTCTAGGAAGAGATTCTGTTTGATCTGATAAGGATGCTCTTCCAGGGGCCCAGAGCTCTCTGGGAGAAACAGGGTCACAAATTAGGATCAGGGGCCTCCCTGGTGGCACAAGGGGTTAAGTCTCAGCACTATGAAGCTATCAGCAGCCACTGCAGTAGGAGTGCAATCCCTGGCCAAGGAGCTGACCCACATGGCAGACAGACCTCTCCTGACCTGCCCGCTGCTCCCCTCAGCAGTGTACTTCAGTCATTGCCTGTTCTGCTCCCCACTCTGTTTCTGGTGAATCCTTTCACAAACATACCCCTCCCCCTGCTCCTCTGTCTACACCCCAGCTCTTGTATGATTAAATAAATAAGATAAATCTTAAAACAAACAAGTACAGGTCAAAATGTAAGGATGCAAACAGGAAAAACAGTAGAAAAGAGGCCATATTTTGTGCAATGGTGGCGGGGAGCGTGGGAGGGAGTCTAAGCACTTGGTCTGTCAGACATTCACCTACTCCCATCAGTAATCCCTTCTACTCAGGCAAGTGTGATTCAGAAAAAAGAAACACTGACACACCTCAAACTCCAATCTGTGAGAGGATCACCAAAGCCTGCCAAGTGAATTTACAGAGGAATCATAAGTGAAGATTTGGGGGCATCATCTTCAATTCAGAAGGTTGCCAGTGCAGCTCTGTTCCACGTCATGAGGCACAAGGATAAAAACCCCAAGGCTCCCTCACTGTGCTCCTCAACATGTAACCATTTGTTTACATGTTTGTCTCCTCTATTAAACTGTAAGCTCTTCAAGGGAGTTCTCACCATGATTTTGAAGAAGTCTCAATGACTGACTTAAGGTCAAAACAGGCCATTAGAACAAGGGTGTGGAGCAAAGATGTAGGGAAAGACTGTTCTATGGGGAAGTAAAGAGTCCAGATTCATGGATCATGAGTTAACGAAAATTCTGGCTTGGATTATTTATTATTTATGTTAAACTGACGAATGACCCTCTGGCATGTTCATGTCTTAATCTCCAAATCCTTTGAAATGTTACCTTATATAGCAAGCAGGACATTGTAGGTGTGATTACGGGAAAGAACTTGAAATGGAGAAATTATCCAGCCCTCAGAATAATCACAACTGTCTTTATAGCAGCAAGAAGTAAAATATCCCACAGAAGACAGAAGGCCACTGCCTTCTGATGATGAAGGGAGGGGAAAGAAAGGAAGGAAGAAGTGGAGATGCTATACTGTTACTTTGTGGATGAAGGAAGGGAACCAAAGGATGCAGATTGCCTCTGGAATTTGGAAAAGGCGAAGAAAAAGGATTTTCCCTTGGAATTTCCCTAGGGGCCTTTAGAAAGAAAGCAGCCTTATGGAAACTTTTAAAAAGATTTATTTATTTATTCATACTAGAACTGGGGTACAGGCCAGAGATGTGGAGTGAAGGGATTCACCAGAGAGGTTGGAAAGCAGAACAGGCTGATTGAATGAAGTACACTGCTGAGGGGAGCAGTGGGCAGGTCAGGAGAGGTCTGCCATACCATGTGGGTCACCTCCGGGGCTGGGGATTGAACTCATGCTGCAGTGGCTACGTGCTGTATACACTAACCCATTGTGCCACCAGGGAGAGCCCCATGGAAATATGTTAAATAACTCTTTTACTTTCAGAAGTGTAAGACAATCAACATACATAATTTGTGGTAATTGTCATAACAGCCAATGGCAACAAATACAATAACTACTCAAGTAATGAAGCCCAGAGGAACTGAATAGAGTAGCAGTCTCTTAAGATGAAAATGAAGTTTTGTGACAAAACTCTAAAGCTGGAGTGATCACTTCTAGACCAAGTCAAGAGATCTTAACTTACATTTCTGAAAATTAAGAAAGGGAGGTGTCAAAACATAACCCTAGAAGGAGCATCACTCCCAAGTTATTCCTTCTCAGGCTTGGCCATGAAGAACAATGAACAAGAGAGATTCCCTCCAAAATCAAGACTAAAACAATTCTTTGGGTCACAAGGACAATATTTAGGAGGAAGTATATGGTTATTAAAAAGCAGTAATCATTAAAACAGTATAGTATTGGAATAAAGATATATACACATATTAATGGAATGGAATTAAAAGCCCAGAAATAAGTTATGCAAAAGGGCCATGATCATATGGCAGTGAAAGGAAAATTTCTCCAACAAATAGTGTTGGACAGCTTCATGAAAAAAAATGAAAATAGGTTACTCTCTAAATCCATACACAAAAATAAATTTAAAACCTCCACATTGATAAAGAAAAAGATCTCAATTTTTTAAAAAAAGCTTTATTTATTTATGCATATAGAACTGGGGTAAAGGCCAGAGGTGCAGGGGTGGTAAGAGGATTCACCAGAGACAGAGTGGGGGCAGAACAGGCAGATGGGCGAAGTACACTGCTGAGGGGAGCAGCAGAGAGACAAGAGTTCTGCTGAACCATGTGGGTCACCTCTGGGGCCTGTGATCGAACTCACACTGAAGCGGTTGCAGCTAGCTTGCAGTGCTGTGCCCTAACCTGTCGCACCACCAGGGAGGGACTGACACAGTCTCAAATTTTAAAACCTAATTTTATACCTCAAGGGTCTGGGGAGTGGGGTGGTAAAAATTAAGCTTGAAGTTAGTAGAAAGAAGAGATAAAGAGTAGTGCTAGAATCAATCAAATAAAGGATAGAAAAAAAGAAGAAAATCAGCAAAACTGATAATTGGGTTTTTTTTTAAAAAGATTTATTTATTTATTCATACAGAACTGGGGTACAGGCCAGAGATGCAGAGGGTGAGAGGATTCACCAAAGACAGAG